GAACTTTAAACATGGGCGTGGGAAAGAAATTCTCAACTGTCAAGAGAGGATCTAAGATGTTTTCTGCCAAAAAGAATGAAATTCTGGCCACTAATATTTTAATTTTAATTCACAGTTAAGATTTTAAGATGTAATGTTCTTGTTTTTCTCCACATACGTATTTATTTGGAAATAAGGGAGCATGCAATCCAAGAGACATCCAGCTAATAAGAGTTAACTAAACAGAGTACTTGTAAATGTGTAAATTTGTAATTTATGTACAGGTAAAGTTTACATAAACAAAATCACACTGGTAAAACAGATCTATATCTTTTTTCAAAAGAAGACAGTATTAACCATCTAGGTTTGAATTCCAGCTCTATTATTTATTCACTGTGCCACTTTGAATAAGCTATTTATTACCTCTGTGCTCATTTCCTCATTTCTAAAATGAAGATTATAATAGCAAACACCTCTAATATTATTTGTTGAAAAGTTTCAATGAAATAGTATATAAAGTATCTAGAATAACTGGCACATAAAAAGCCATATTAACAACTCTTATGACAGAGGATCACTAAATGATATTCAAGACATTCTTGCTGGCTACATAAAAATTACTAAAGAAAAAATATCATTACTGCAAAACAGAATGTATCTATTTAAATATTCCACTTGGATAGTGTAACAGTATGTTTTACAAAGAAAAATAGCTATTACCACCCAACATTTCCACCTTGTGGACATTTCAGGTAATTGCTGCCGATGACTATAAAGGCATAGTTGTACTTCTCTTAATATAAGATGATCGCTGACTGGAAGCAGCATGGTTCGGTGAAGAAAAAACCCCAAATCCCTTGAAATGAGGAAGACTTTAGCTCAAATACACCCTTGACCCCTTATTAGCTGAATGCTGGTATCTCTAAGTCTCCCTTCATTTCTGTATGATGTGGTTAAAACTTAACATTTCTCAGAGGATTTATGAGGATTAAGTAATATATGTAAAGCATCTAGCACATTAAAAACAAGCAATGTTTCCTTATTTTGCCCTTGCTGGTAACTTTCTTTTTGTGATAGATTTTGTAACACAGGTAAATTTTTATACTGCCAAAACAACCCATATTTTTCTTTGTAATTTCTTTCACTGCTTTTATTTTTAAGATTGTTTTTGAAAATAGGCAGTACATACACATGATACAAAATTAAAAGGCTGAAAAGTGCAGAGAATGAAAAAAATGTCTCCTTTCATCCTTGCCTCCCAGCAACAAGTGCTCTTCCCAGAGATAATCACTGTTATGTTTCTTTGGTCTCTTTCCAGAAGTAATCTGTTCAGAGACAAGCATACACCTAAGTGTGACTTCCTCTCCTTGTCCCCAACACAAGTAGTGTCACACTCACTATGCACACTGCTCTGCAGCCTGCTCTTTCACTTAACATTACTGTATCTGACAGCTCATTCCTTATCAAAGAGCTGTCTCACTCTTTCAATGGCTGCGGAGAACCTCGTTGAATGGACACATGAAATTCATGTATCTGTCCCCTCTGACGCACAGCTGGAGTATTTCCATTTTTCTCCCTGTTAACGAACAATGCAATAATGTGTATGCTGTGCATAATCATTTCGGTATACTTGGGGGATACACTGCTGTAAACAGTAATTGTTAGGTTGAAAGATATTTGCACTTGTAATTTTGGAAGAAAGCCAAGTGACTCTTCGAGGTTCTATTAAATTTAAAATCTCACTAGAATTGTATGTCCATTTTCCTACTGCATCAATTTTTTGGTCTTGGTTACTCGGAAAGGTTGAAAATGGTATTTCAGAGTAGTTTTAATTTACATTTCTATGACTTCTGAGGCTGACGATCTTTCCATGTTTTGGGGACATTTCTCCCTTTCGTTTTATGAATTGTTTTTCTTTTGCTCATTTTTCTATTAGGTTATTGGCTCTCCACTCCACCCCCCAACCGTTTTTTCTTTTTTTTTGAGTTAGCTTTTTTAAACTAACATATAACATATTAGTTTCAAGTGTACAATATCATGATTCAGTATTTGTATATATTGCAAAATGATCATCACAGTAAGTCTGACGTTAACATCTATCACCATATACAGTTACACATTTTTTTTCCCTTGGGATGAGAAATTTTAAGATCTACTCTCTTAGCAACTTTCAAATATGCAATACAGTATTATTAACTATAGTCACCATGCTATAAATTACATCCACATGACTTTTTCTTTTATAACTAGAAATTTGTAACTTTTTGCCCACCTCTTGCCTCTAGCAACCACCAACCTTTTCTCTGTATCTGTGAGCTATTATTTTCTTTTAAGATTCCACATATAAATGAGATCATACAGTGTTCGTTTTTCTCTGTCTGATTTATTTCACAGTGCACAATGCCCTTGAGGTTGATCCATGTTATTGCAAATGGCAAGATTTCCTTCTTTTTTATGGCTAAACAATATTCCACTGTATGTTTATGCATATATACACCACATTTTCTGTATACATTCATCCATGGATGGATGAACACTTAGATTGTTTTCCTATCTTGGCTACTGTAAATAATGCTGCAAGGAACATGGAGATGCATGTGTCTTTCTGAGTCAGTGTTTCCGTTTTCTTCAGATATGTATCCAGAAGTAGAATTGCTGGATCATACTGTAGCTCTATTTTTAATTTTCTGAGGAACGTCCATACTATTTTTCACAGTAGCTGCACCATGTATATTTCCACCAACAGTGCACAGGGTTCCCTTTTCTATACTTCCTTGCCAATACTTGTTACTTGTCTTTTTGATAATAGCCAATCCAACAGGCAGGAGGTGATATCTCATTGTGGTTTTGATTTGCATTTCCCTGATGTTTAGTGATATTAGTGATGTTGAGCATCTTTTCATGTACCTGTTGGCCATCTGCATGTCTTCTTTGGAAAAATGTCTATTTGGATCTTCTGCCCAGTTTTTAATCAAATTGTATGCTTTGGGGTTTTTTTTTTTTTTTTTCTATTAAGTTGTATGAGTTTATACATTTTGGATATTAAGCCCTTATCAGATATATAATTTGCAAGTATTTCTTCCCATTTAGTAGGTTGTCTTTTCATTTTGTTGATGGTTTCCTTTGTTCTGCAGAAGCTTTTTAGTCACTGGTTTTTGGTCTTTCCTAATGATGTGCAGGAGCTCTTTATATATTAAAGACACTAGTCATTTGTGACATGAGTACAATGCTTTTTCCTGGCTTTACTGACAATGCTTTTACTATGCAGAAATTTTTATTTCCTTGCTCCCTCTCTCCTCATCAATTAAAATACATAGTGAAAGGCACATTGTTAGATGATAAGATGCAGAGGTAGGAGACAGACAAGAAAAATGTACTACAGCATCATGAGGTAATCACAAGGAGCTAGGAGAGCAGACTGGATTTACACCATTGGGAAAGGGCATGTGTGTGTATCAAGGAAGACTTCTAGGCGGCAGTAAAATCTGAACTGAGGTTTAAAGACTGAGAAAAGAATAAGGCAGGTGAACTGGAATAAAGATTTGGGAAACAAAAAGGAGTCCCATATGACTATAACAGGTAATTTTAAATAGAGTCAGGAAGACCTAATTTAACTCATTTGTCAGAAGGGCAGCATTCACTACAGATTCTTATTGTTTAATTTAGTCTTTTTACTTTACTTTTGACAAATCATAGGATTGCAAAGGGAACCATATACTGGAAGAACTGGGTTAATTAACAATGAGATCCTACGGGAAAATACTAAAAAGCTTCTTTCGGCTTGTTCTAGTTTTCTGCTTCCTATATATAAATGCTCATATATATTTTAAAAAAATTTCTGTTTTAAATTTTCAAATGAAGCCTCAATTTAGAGTAAATCAATCAAAGAAAAAGAACTACTTTCATGAAGCCAAGGTAGCTTGCAGGTTAGAAGCACAGACTGTAAAGCTTTTATACAGAGATAGAACAACGTATTGGTTAAGAACACAGACTCTATCTGGGTTTAAATCCTGGCTCTGCTGGGTGATTTGGGGCAAGATATCAAATTGCTCTATGATCTGTGGTCTTACCTACAAAGTGGGGCTAACAGTACCCTCCTCCTAGTACCTTGAAGTGTATTCAGTGAGTTAAGAAATGTAAAGCACTTGTCTAGTACATGTACGTTCTCATTAAGTGTTCGTTATCACTTTAATTATTCCTTGTAAAATCAATTTCTATTAAATGCCACATCAACAGTGCTTAATTTCCATGGCTTACTAGTATAAATACCTTTATAAATTTTTAATGTGCTGTATAATAAGCAACCTCTATCTTATTACTCTATCTAAAAATATTACTGTTTCTCGATCCTAAGTTCTAAGGATCTGGGATCAAGTCCCGGCTCTACCACTAACTAGTACTTGGGCAAGCTTCTTAACCCCCCTGTACCTCATTTTCCTTTTCTAAATAGATTAACTAATAAAGTTACTGTAGATTTCAATCAGTTTATGCATGTACAGACTTAGAACAGTGCAAATAGTAAGTACTCAATATATCTGATATTATTACCAAATATTGAGCACAATGCTCTCAAATTGGTAAAAGTGTACATTTTTTAGACCTCTGACTAATATTCTTGTTGCCTGCCTAAAAGGCCTATTCACACAAACAATTCATGAGAATGCAAGGTTCACCACATCTTTAATAGTACAACTATTAGAGACTCCTTTTGCTCATTTGATACATATATAGCCACCCACTACTGTTTGGTTTGCATTTAAAAAATTACTAGCAGTGTCGAATATTTCCCTTTTTATTTACTAGTCATCTCTTTTTTTCATCTGTTTATCCATGCCTTTTGTCTATTTATCAGCTAAAGTTTAAAAATATTTTTTCTATTTTATTTATTTTAGGGTTTTAAAGATATTAATTCTTTGCCATATTTTCCACAAATTTATTTTTCTTTTTGCCCTTTAGAAATGCAGAAATTAATTTTTTTTAACAAAATCAAGTTTATCTTTCTTTTAACATAATTTCTAATAACATAAATTTTAACACCTCAAATTTAGAAATTCTTCCCTAGCCAGGAAAGACAATCTTTTTTTCTAATTTTTTAAACAGCAGGTTAACTGTCATTAATTAAACTAGAATTTGTTTTGGTAACTGCTATGAAGCAATGATCTAAATTAAATTTTCTTGCCAAAAGCTCATCTATTGTGCCAATACCATTTACGGAATTATCTTTTTCTTCCTTATGGATTTGATACTGTTGAGAAAATAAACTGAAAATAATACAAAACATGCAACTTACTGATAAAAGCTCTCGAAGCTTATAAAGTTGCATACAAAAGCTTTAACAAATCAAAATTAATGTATAGAAAAATCTTTTTATAACACAGATTATTTATATTACACATAAATGTATTAATATTAGTTTTGTTGAAAACACAAAAATGTGGACACTTGAATTTTAAAAGAGAAGCTTCCTCTACGAATTGGCCACATTTATGGGAGAAACAAGATCCAAAATGGAAAGAAAATGACCAGTGACAGATTACGGTAGCATATTGCTTCAGACCTTGCAAAGTGATCACATACGTATCTGCTTTGCGTTCACAACACAGTAGACCAGGTAAATACTTTTACAGATGTAGAAACTGAAGCATAAAAATTTTAAATGAGTGTGATTTTAAATTTTAAACAACTACCAAGCGGCAAAATTACAACCAGTATTCAGATCTTTTAACTCCGAGTCACGGGTTTCATGAAAATACAAACAAAACACTATGTATAACCATTAATGGTCAGACAACAACCTCTTTCTCCTCTACATTCTCGTCCCCTACTCCCATTTACTAGATCCCTTCTCCCAGCCTACAAATAAACTGGTCTATTTCCCCTGGAAAACACCGCCCTCTTGACCTCATATCCTGCTCCTGCTACTGCTTCAAGGACTGCTTTCCCTTCACAGCCAAGCTCCAAGACAGAGCTGTGCACTGCGCCTGTCCCCAGTTTCTCTCATCTCACTCTCTCTTGATCCACTTCAACTGGCCTTCTGTCCTGACTGTTCTCCTTCAACCGCCCCCATTAAGATCACCAAGGGCCTCCACCTTGCGGTCACCCACTTCCTGGCTCAACTCACCTGACCTATCAGAGGTACTGGGTACAGTTAATGACTATTTCTTGATGTACTTTCTTCACTTGGCTCTAGGATTACGTGCACCTAGCTTTTCTCCCTTCACACTCATTTTTCTTTCTTAATTTCCCATGCTGGTCATCTTCTTAATCCTTAAATGCTGGAGTGCTCAGGGCTGTCTTGAACTCTTCTATCTTTACTCACTCTTTTGATGATACTATGTGGTCTCTCAATTTACAAATCCATCTCTGTATTAACTTTCAAATTTATATCTTTAGCCCAGACCTCTCCTTGAATACCAGACTTGGGGTACAACTCCCTTCTCCCTTCAAACGAATGAAAGATCAAAGGAATAACTGAAGGAATGGTGACAAATATCAACACAGGGTTGGTAAACAGGTTTCATTTTCATCTTGAATGCCAACTGCAAATGACAGGCAACAGTTGCATCAAATCCTGTGCAGTGGATTCTGAGGCCACATCAGCTTAGAGGGAAAATACACCATGACTGATGAACAGTGAGGCATTCTGGTTTTCACCCTCTCAGCATTAATATAAAACTATATAAAATTAATATAAAACTGTCACAGTATAGCAAACTATAATAATGTTATGCAAAGTTCTTCAAACGAATTTTGTGAGTAAAGACTAGTAAAGAGAAAAATGATCGAGTGACAGGTTAAGCAAGATTAATGAAAAGCTATGTTTAAATGTAATTAGTGAATAAAAGGCAAACAGAATTTCACAGTATGTGAGGGGTCTTTACCATTCTGACAGCAGGCCTACTTTGAGAACATCTAAAACATCCTTCCTATACAGCAATACATATTTTGTTTTATAATTTAATAGTCACTAATCATACAATCCTTTCACTATTAAAGAATACATTATTCTTCAGGGTTAATTATGAGCTCATGGCACTTACATTCTGTTTCATGCTTATAGGCTCCTAAGGTAAGCTGACGAGATGTGGTTAGTAACTGTTGCATCATCGCTGTTGGGTCTTGAAATATCTAATGGGATAGAATGAAAAAAAAAGCCCGATAACTTCAAAGTGTACCATTTAAGATGCTTTACAAACTCTCATCATTAAATCTACTTACCATTTCATCGTAGAATTCTGAAACCACTGTCTTTTTCCCCAGCATTGCATTGGTGTCTGACTGAAACAGCTTTAATAAATGATACAGGGTTACCTGTGAAATAAAAACAGACATGATATCTGTGCAATGGTTTTCATCATCATCATGAGACATCATCATTTCTGTAACTGATTCAGTAAACATATCATATTCAGGACCTTGTCTCAACAACTTACTGTGGCAGATCACCGAAATTCTCTGTACTTTTATTTTTCTATTAGGTATTACTATCCATCCACATCTACTAACTACAAATGTTTTGAAGAGGGTAAGGATCTGTTACAAAACATCTCTAGAGAGTGACTGTATATAAAAGTCACACAAGACACAGCTATGGAAGTTAAACTGGGGAATCACTAAGACTTGAATTCTTTTAATTATACAAGTGAAGTTAGATTCACTGTGACAGTTACTCTGTGAAGATTAAAGTTTACAAATCTACTGTGGGGAAAAAAGATTTAATACTTTCAAAAGGAATGACCAATATTAAAATGCTCAGTGAGGGCAAGATAATTTCTCTAATGTAAGAATAAGATTATTACATAAATAGTATAATAAACAAAAAGTTACTCAGTGATAATTCACTTTGGCAAGAGCAACACGTCTTCAAAATACTTAAAGACAGATACAGTTAAGACATCAAAGGAAAAGCTTTGTAGCGCGATGTGCGATTACTTGAGCAAAATAAAACCTAGCCGGTGAAACATCAGAGTTCATGTTGAAGCTGCAGAAACCTATTTAGAACCTCAAAGAATTTTCCAAAAAGTTACCTAAAATCATTATAAAGTGTATGCATCAAATGCTATATTTAAAGCAGTGTGAGGTCTAAGTGGGGAGGGAATAGCTCAGTGGTAGAGCATGCGCTTAGCATGCCTGAGGTCCTGGGTTCAATCCCTAGTGCTTCCGGTAAATAAATAAGTAAACAAACCTAGTAACCGCCCCCCTCCAAAAGAGTGTGAGGTCTGAATGCAAATACTTGGGCTCAAAAGCCAGCTCTGCCACAATCAGCTCTGTGTTTTGAGCATGTGGCTTCATCTCTGAGCCTTCGTACCCTCATCAACCCCACAAATTGCTGAAGGGTCAAAGTGAAAGCTTGAAGGGACTTTTTACATTATCAAGCAACAAACTGAAGAAGAGGTCAAAAGATGAAAACATCAGTGGTTTTAAATAAGGATTCACGAATAAGATATAAAGCTGCTAGGACTGATGGGAGTTTGAAAAAGCAGTAAGACTGTTTCAAGGCCTTTTAACTAAAACACTGGATATTCCCATTTCAGAGATCCTGTGGACTCAACCTGTTTATTACTAATAACCAAATGATACTAATGACTTTTAAACTTTTTGATGTAGTAAGCCTATGACTGCCATGATTTCTTTCAAATAACTGTTCACACTGTATCCCTTCATTTTATACTTGAAAAATGGAAGAGTTTTGAAAGGCACTTCACTTAAAAATGAAAAATCGTAACTCACGGCAAGTTACACCACGCCATAAGCTTACATAGAGTATATCTGAATAACAGTGTCAACATATAACAAGCTATTCATTAGGTACTGTTACATTTTCACAATTACTAAGAAAATACCCATTTTACATTTGCAAAGATTAGCATTACTCACAGGTCTTTCATTAGGATCAATGAAAAATATTTTGATGATTATTTCAAATTCACCCCATCCTGTTTCAGTAATTTCATATGGAGGCTTTGTAACAACTAAGAAAAGAAGAAATAAAACAATTATAAATTATAAATTATCGATACAGTTTCCCAGCTCTTTTTAAATGTATGTGTTATGAATCAAAAAACTACTGTACCTCTTAAAGGATTGCCATAGCTTTCATGTAATTTAAATTGGATTTTCTTCACATACGCTGACATATCCTAAAATACAGAGGAATTAATTAGTTCTGCCATCCACATATAAAACTGGGAGAGAACTACACTGAGTATATATACTAATTTTATAAAAGATACTTCCCCTCAAATTTTATGGAAATCAATTTTCTAAAAACATGAATTATACCCTGGAGGTTTTTTTTATTTTAAACAAAGGAAGCTTGTGCTGAATTTTCATAACTCATAACGTACAGAAAATCACATGTCCCTAATTCACTTATTTTGCAAATCCTGTTTTTGTACATCTCTGTAGACAATACTCAAATCAGTTTTGATTTTTCCATGAAACACAGTACGTTTCCAATAATTTTAATAGAAATAACCACGTAAACCAAAGCAAATCTAAGAACTAAGCAACTTCAAAGAACAAAACTACACCATACAGGTCAACTAAGCTAAGCGACCTAAAACTGCTGGATGTAGAACCCCTCCTTTTCTTAATTTCATTTTGAAGCACAGAAGCATATTCATTAGTTCCTGCACATAAAAGGGATTCTCCCTGTGAAGATGGCCTCTTCAAAAAGAATTCGTTATAGAGAAATAGGAAAACGCAAAACAGAGTAAGTCGCATTCAACAGTAATGTTCATTAATCTTCTTACTTGCTGCCCTCAGCTCAGTCACGGTTCTGCATGGCAATTTAATGTGTGGCATATTGCCCTTCCTCTCATTTACCTCTACATTTGTAATCTCTTAATTTATTAAATGTGACTGAACATACTGTGGGGTTACGTGGGGAGAAAGTGTATTTCAGTATTGGAAGAAATTCTGAATGATAAGTCAGCATCTCCACCCTTAAAACTTACAGAATTATTTTGAATATTTATTAAATTCATTCACAAAATGTGTCCTCTTCATAAATTAAATGTATGTCCAAAATTCTAGTCTCCTACATATAATCCAAAGTGTTTGCAGCAGACTGCCTTCATCATGATCGAGCTGTGAATTTACCCCTGGGCTATTAGCCACCGTTTTCATCTTTTAAGTAACACCTCTTCATGACATCTCTAAATGATTTTTCAGACTTTCCAAACAGTGACAAATGATTACAATGATAACATAGATTCTCACTAGTCTTCTTGCTTCCACTATGTTGGCTCAATGATAACTGAAATACAGAATGAAGGGTTTTCAAGAGTTCATTCACTCAGTGCATATCTGCTGAATACCTACTATGTACTGGCTGCATTCCAGGCACTGAAGATTCAGCAGCAAAATAAAATTACCAGCAGCTAGATTACATAACAGTTTTGTCTTTCATAATCTCTGATGGTCTTATTATCAAATTATCACTTAAATTTACTCTTCCTGAAACATTTGATTATATACTAGGTTACCTTAAGGTGTGGTGATTGGAAGATGTACTGTGTTTCTAGCATAGTTCTTGTTACCATAACTTAATTAAAAAAATTATTTGGAAAAATTGATTTCTACTAACAATTATATGAAGATGACAGCTTTTACTTTATTCCATCAACTTTTTTATAATGGGTCAGTTTTATTATTAGGTTACTATAATATTACAAGTTATCTTCAAGCAAAACAAACTGTAGCTTCAAAAAAGTTTCAGGAAAAACAAGTACCTACCTCATTTCTATATGGCTTCACATATACTGTCCACTGATGGGTGTGCCCATCCTCCTCTCTTTTCTTTCCAAAATATCGAGCAACATTACCATAAACTATTGGTTTAACGATAGTAACCCCCTATAAGAAAAGTAATTTCAAAACCAATTAATATTGTATTGTTACCCAAATGAACAGAATGAGAGCTCTGAAAGCTTGTTTTAAGGAATGGCAGGCAGTCTAACAACCCAAGTTTGCTCCAACCATGGATTCCCCTCAAAAAATCAATTCCAGACAATTATCCTTATTTCATATTATCATAAATAACACTAGATTAATTACAATGTTCCCATTTTGAAAATGTCTATTTCAATCATGTAAAGTACTTTGAGAGCTTTTTTTTTTTTTAAGTAAACAGAAAAGGGTCTTTAGTGAAAAACTTTAAAGTAAGGTCTGGATATGGTCATCGATTTTGACTGCCATCCTCTGCTGGTAATGTCCTTATTTCTCAGCTTACAGCAGTGTTTTCTAAAGCACAGCACAAAAATTAAAGGCAGTTTGGAAGAGGATTTTAGGTGGAATGAGGGCAAACGTTTTCCTTTTATTACTGATTGTGTTTACTTTAATCTGTATTAGACAAACCATAACTAGAACTAGCAATTCAAACCCACAATTTCAAAACTCGTAACGCACAGGAAAGGGCTTTAAAAATTGACAACCTGTTAAACATTACAGTTGGATTCAGATAATGATAAAGAGGCACTTGGATGACTGAGCTTGGTAAACACTGGATGATGGAATGTTTGCTACTTCTGTGCTCAGTTCCAAGATGTACATACATGTTACTCATCACATCTGGTAAGAGTAAAAGGCAGTGAGTTTTAACAGATTATGACGGAAAGAAGAGAGGAAAAGTTTCAAGTGAAGAGAAAAAGCTGAATGTTGCACATGAATCTGAGATCAATCGTTCAACAGTAATAACCTGAAGGTCAAAGAGCAAGATACATCACACGTAAGAAGTGCTGGGCCAGTGTAATCAGCGGTTAGCAAGAAATGAGGAAGAGCGGTGAACAAATGGGAAAACTTTTCACTGTGACTAGATAATTCACAAATAAACCCAACACCTTTTAGCCTAAAGTTAGTTCAGAAGAAGGGAAGCAGTTTGCATGCGAACTTAGACAATCCCAGCCAGTGCTATTGGTATTCTTGTGACAACCAAAGATGGGGCCCCAGGTCCAAGGCTTGAATGAACACACAGAAGGAGCACTGACATGCTGAGTGGCTAACAGATCCTCTAGCTGCTACAGCGTTGCTAGGAACTTGCAGAGTTCCTCAGAACACCCTCTACCTGGGTGAACTTTAACTAAATTGTAAAAAGATGCTTACAAGCCCACATAACAATCAGCAAGGAGGAGAAATATGTCCCATATTTTAAAGTTTTACATGACTAACTCACACCCGTTTTTGGTGGAAAAGCTTTGAGGACTACAGACCTGATCTCAAGTCATTTTGGATTTAAAAACTTTCAGAACCCAACATGATTACAAGTAGAGAAAGTTCTGGAAGTTTGTCTCCAAAATCTAGCGTTGTAACACTTTGTTCAGCAGTACTTTCTTATCAGTCCAAAACCTGGCCCCAAAGCGTGGGCAAATGTATATGTTAATGAAGCTTATGGCACTATGAATTTTACCTGACATCTCTCTCCCCTTCCATTAAATTTCAGAAGCTTTTGAAACTTTCGAAGAACTCCCACTTTGCAAGAAGTACTAAAGCACTGTGTATGCTAATTGTATACACAGTATAAAATCACATGAAAACAATGTAACAGAGAGAAGAGATTGGTGCAAAAGTGGGTGATTCCTTTTTAAAGAAAAATTTCCTTTCTGCGATCAATTAAAACCAGAAGGGGTAAAATAGGTGTTTTATCGGGACCAGCTGGTCCTGTCGTAAAAAGTTAACGTGCCAGGGGATGTAGTGGGAGGAAATGTGTCACAGTGTCAAACACTACGGTAGGCTCTATGATAACTTCTATTAGAAACAAAGCAGCTAACATGGACTCAATGTTGCCTATGTGCTGGGCAGTGTTACGTTCTTTGCAGGCCTTGGTTAGTTTTTCGGCTGTAGCTTTGGGGCTTTATGAACACCATGAACTTGGGGACGTTTTCTGAACTTTTCTTCCCTCGGTTCTTCAGTTACTCGTGAATACTGGGGGGAAGAGGGGTTTGATGCTGCCTTTGTAAGGTTGCTATAGGGTCTGAATAAGAGAATCGGGTAAAGCGTTCACCTACTGGGCTTCCTCAGTAAGTGAGTATCGAAAATGTGCTACTGTTATTATTCTCACAATAGGTGGGCACCCAGACCCCCACCCCGCCCCGGTTTACAGGTGACCTGGGCTGGCAGCGGAGGAGCACCAAGCCGGGACCTCCCAGCCCGTGTTTCTTGGCAACAATGTCCAGCTCTCCCCTGGGCACCACTGATGACATCTGATTTTTGGGCCGGGACGGAAGGCAGGCGGCGACGCGCGAGGCTGGGGCCCAATGAAACCGTGATGTTCCCTCTGGGGCTCGGACTCGCCGTCCTCCCGGAAACCGCGGTTCCATCCCGAGGCCAGAAGACGCGAGAGGCAACCAGCGGGCCGTCCCCGGCCGCGCAGGGAGGAATCGGGGCGCGAGAGCCTCTCCCGGAGGGGGGGCGCGGGCCGGGCACTGACCTTCACTCTCCCGCCGGAGTCAGGCCCAAATTCAGCCATTCTCTTGAACATATTGTCCTACGGAGGAAGCCGCCGCCGCCGCCGCCGCCAGGGAAAGAGACCGGGGCCGGCGGGCTCGCCGCTCCCCTCAGAGGCCCCGCTCCTCCCGCGCGGGCCCAGGAGGAGGGTTTCTGGCTGACGGAGGGCGAGTCACTGAGGCTCGGGGCGCTGAAGAACCGCCAACTCCTCACGGCGGGCGGCTTCCCGGAAGCCCATTCAGCACCGCGCCGGGGGAGAGCTGAACCCAAGCAGCTGCGGCGGCGGCGGCGGCGACGTCGTGCGCAGGCGCCGACGAGCTCGTGCACGAGCGCACATTACGCACACTGCGCACGCGCGGGCACTGCGCACGCGCATGGCGCTTCACGTCTCGGTCGTCCGAGTCTGAGGAGTCCGGGCGTCTCCAGCCAGCCTGTCACCGCCACTGAACGCCTAGCTTCCTAATGACCGAGAAATTCGCTTTTGGAGGCAATGCCTCGCCATCGCCAAAGCATTACAGTTCTGAAATGAAGTTCACGAAATCTCACCCACCCACAGCTTTTCGTTGTCTTCATCCAGCCCCCTAGGCCTCCCAGACTTCCAAGCTTGGAGCGCTGATTTCTTCTTTTATTTGCTCCCCTTTTCGTTTCCTTTCTACCTTTTCTACTCAGTTTAGGTTCTAAGGCCCGTAACGTGGCACAACCCCCCCCCCTTCTTTGCCCTTCTGTGGTTCTAACGGCTTTGCAGGTTAGCGCAGTGCCAAGTTAATGATCTCCAATTTAAGCGAAGTATTAAGAGGTTCGCTCTCCCTTTTCTTCTGTTTTAAACTAGAAGCTATTCAGAACTTTTCGCTAGTCTCTTCAAACCTCCAACCCTCTCATTCTGATCAGGTGACTTGGCATCCTATTTCACGGAGAAAACAGACCTCCGTGCCCCCAGACCTAAACACGAGCTTTGGTTTGCCTGATATCCACCCTGCCTTTCTTCTCTTCTGTTCAAGAGGGAATCTTCTACTTTAAAATACTTCCGTCTGTGTTCTTGATCTCATTGTTTCTTGCTTTCTCAACGTTTTTGCCCCATCAGCCATCTCCACTCTGCCCTGCGTTGCCACAAACCTTAAATTTGTTAAAAACAAACAAACAAACAAACAAACAAACAAACAAAAAAACCAATATCTGCAGGAGCACCATAAAGTGAAGCACAGCAAACTGTGAGTTTCCAAACTGAAAGATCCTTCCAAGCACCCAGGATAAAGATGACAGCAAATCCACATCAAGGCACGTCACCATGAACTTTGAGAACTCTGGGGATGAAGAGAAGATCCCACACAATTCCAGGTTGTAAAGACTCCAAAATCAGAATGGCTTCAGTCTGCTGACGAGCAACATTGGACTGTAAGGAACGATAGCGTTCTCTAGAGGCTGTTCCCCAGGTGGTCCCATTGCAATGGGCCACCTTCAAAATTCTGAAGGAAAATTAATTCCAACTTAGTGTCCCATACCCAGCCCACTAACAACCCAGTATGTGTGTGACTAGAACACACACGACTTTAGACATGCTAAATCTCAAAAAAAAAAAAAATAGTACCTCTCTTGTACCCTTTCTCAGGGAGACTCTGAGAAATGTGGTCCAACAGGGAGATGTGGTCCAACAAACTGAGGGAATAAAATAAGAAGGAAGAAATTATGAAAAACAGGGAACATAGTGACTATCCAATATGGAGAGAAAAGAAGAGAATCCCAAAATGATGCGGAAAGAAAGAGCCCAGGATGATAGCCATGTATTAGACACAGACAGGAATCAGTCCCAGTTAGATTTGGTCAGAAATCTTTGGGAATTACTGCTTTCAAAAGATGAGATTGATGAAATTGTAGCTGCGTCTGAAGACCTGAGAGGAGACTTAAATGTAAAACTTAAAGAGTGGCAGATTAAGAAGTACAAGCTACTATGTATAAAATAAATAAGCTACGAGAAGATATTGTACAGCACAGGCAGTGTAGCCAATATTTTATAATAACTATAAATGAAATATAACCTTTAAAAATTGTCAATCACTATGTTGTTATATAATATTGTACATCAATTATACCTCAATAAAGGAAAATAAAAGACCTAGCATTTGGGAGTTGAACTAATGACAGATAAACAGAAAGCTAAGCCAAGTTAAGAATCATGAAGTTATTAGCACTAGGGAAAATCTTGTATAACAGAAGAAAGCATGACTATGTAAATACCAATTACTGATCATATATATATGTATATGTATATGTGTGTGTGTGTATATATATATTTACATTTTAAGGATGGATTTTGGAGAAAGGTGCCATGTGTGATGGAGATGGGGGAGGAGGAAATAGAACTTAATTCTTAACAGTGGGAAACAATAACTTAAAATGGAAAAATCAAGGAGCAACATAAGCCTAATACTTAAAGCATGAGAATAAATATAAACTCATTAACATTAAGCTAAAACAGTAGAAAATTGTTGCATGTGAAGGAGGAGAAATTGGGAGGTACATCTGTCAGAACAAACTTGTAAAACTATCTGACTCTGTAAGCCTCGAGAATTGATAACATTGTTAAAATTAAAAATGATTTAAAATATAATTCGTAAAATGTAATTTGTATATAGATGTGTGTTTAATTGAAAAACATTGTGTCTGTGAATGACTTTAGTCACTCCCGATTATAAGTTAGTATACATTATAGCAACTTCTAAGAAAATATTTTTAAGATGAGTCCACTGAATAGAAGTGCAAGAAATGTGCTCAGGGCTTAGCTATAATTAGTGCCACATGAAGAGCTCAGTTATCATCTGGAACATCACTCTGCATTTGAAATAATATCCTGGGGTGAAATTAAGGAACATGGAACTGAGTTTCTTTTAAAAATAATCAAATATTGATATTGAATTTGTTTTCTTCCAGAATAAGGGTAGAAATTTGGTTTGGAAACTTAATTGTATTAAAATAAAAGGTATAAGTAAGACTTGATATTTGTCAAAAACACTAAGCAAAATCTCCAACAAACATTGCTTTCCCCCTTTGGCCAACTTTCACCATATTCTCTGGTTATTTCTTCCATCAGCCATCATTGTGGGGCTATCCTGGTGCTTCTTGGATATATCCCATCTCTGCATCTGAGCTGTCACTCTTCAAGCCTCTCTCCCCTACCTTGACACGATCTTCATACGCCTCTAAACATCCTGATAAGAATAAACCTAAGTTCTTTCCCATTTATTCATACCCAGATGATCCCAGAACCTCAAAGCCTGAGGCTGCACCTGTGTTGGTGCCCTCCGCTGCCCTCCCGTGGCTGGTCTATGCTCTACATTCACGTAAGTTGACACCTGACCCTTGGAATCCCAGAAGCTGTTGTACTGCAATCATGTGGGCT